GGGGCAAATTTGAAACTTACAAAGGAGTCAGGTATACTTGGATAAAAATCCTCAAACCAAGAAGGGAATATCACAGCCTCTAGGGGAAGAGTTCTACCAGGTAAAGAACCCTATCCTGAGTTAATGGAGATAGAGGCTCCATCTTGTGACACTGATTGATCATAGGTGAGGTAGGAAATCCAGGATTTAAATCCTGTGGCTTGTGGGTACTACTCTCAGTTCTTTGAGAGCTGATACAATCCAATGCCAAGATTGAGGCCACAGTTTATTTTAGAAAGAAGTCTGTGGTGGAAAGAAGGATCTCTCCTGTCTCACTAAGAACAGCCTCAATAGCCATTGGGTGAGAAGTCCACAAGCATGGGCAACTCCCAGTATGGCATTTACAGTGGAAGAACAGACAGGGCAAAACACCAGCTATAAATCAGCACTGCATGGTAAAATGAGGAAGAGATGAAGCTAGAAGTGAGAGTGTACGGGCTTCTAAAAAAAGCAACCCTGCTAAAGGAAGAAGCGAGGCATAGAAGATGTGAAGTCTAGTAACCCTTGTTATATGTGGAGTTGTCACTCAATTCTGTTTTTTGTATTACTTATAGTTGCTGTTGTCCCCTGATGTAATTTTACCAAGAAAAATAAGAATTTCACAAAGAAATGCAATAATTCTAAAAAGAAGAAAATGTATCTTTTTTCTTAATGTAAACAATTTTATTTTATGTATTCGTCTAAGATCATTTTATATTGCTATAACTGAATACTGCAGACTGGGTAATATATGAAGAATAGATATTTATTTAGCTCATGGTTCTGGAGGGTGAGAAGTCCAAGAGCATGACTCTGGCATCTGGTGAGGAGTTTATGCTACATCATGACAGGACACAATGCATCACGTGACAAGACAGAGCAAGCCTACATGTTAGCTCAGGTCTCTCTTTCTCTTCTTATAAAACCACCAGTACCATTATGGGGTATATTACTCCATTCTATGTTGCTAATAAGGATATACCTGAGACTGGGTAATTTATAAGGATAGAGGTTTAATGGACTCACAGTTTCAAATGGCTGGGGAGGCCTCACAATCATGGTGGAAGACAAACGAGGAGCAAAGGAATGTCTTACGTGGTAGCAGGCAAGAGAGCACATGTAGGAGAACTCCCCTTTATAAAACCATCAGATCTCATGAGACTTATTCACTAACATGAGAACACCAAGGGAAAGATCTGCCCCCCATGATTTAATTACCTCCTACTGGCTGCCTCCCACAACAGGTGGGAATTATGGTAGCTACAATTCAAGAGGATATTTGTGTGGGGACACAGCCAAACCATACTGTGGGGTCTGCACCCAGATAACCTTAGCTAATACTAATGACTTGCCCAAAGCTCCAGTTCCAATCAACATATGAATTTTGGGATTAAATTCCCAACACATGAAATTTGGGTGACATAACCAAACCACAGCAATATTTTTATGCACACTTCTTTTCTCAATGACTGAAAGATATAATTATAATATTGCAATTTGAAGTTCTTTCTATGGCTCTGAGCCAGATGCATATTCAAACTCACTGGCAGGTATTTTAATTGTTACACTAGTCTATTATTATTTCTATCACATCTTAATGCTGGTAACAGACTGGTGGACTTGAGAAGGCAGAAATGCGATGACTTTATCTTACTTTTATATATTGTGAGAAAATCTCAAATACAATATCTTTAATCATGTTTTATCATATCCAACTGTTATAAGGATACTCTTTGCTGAAAGCCAATGGTTTAACTCCAGGAACACTGGTTCTTAACAATGACTTTGCTTTATGAACAGATCTTCTGTGCTGACTAAAACTTCCCACGTTTGAAACAACGTTGACATTCACTCAACAGTGCAATAAATAAATAATTAGGGTGGGAGTTGGAACTAATGCATATACCTACCAAGTTGGTAATGATCTCCCATATCGCTTAGTCTTTCAAAGCTACCTCTTTTTCTAAAACCATTTTGTGTTTCTGGGCAGCTGCCAATGTCATGCACTTGTCTAAAGGTGCATTTCTCACCCTCAGAGAAAGCAAATCAACCACCTTTCTTTGCTCATCTAACAAAGTGCCTGATTCCAGCTAGTGACTGTGTAAGCCCTTGGAGTGATATCAGTCTCTATTGATTGAATGCTAAACCATGGAATTAGGTAAGGATTAAAAATTAAATACATAAAATGTTTCAAAATTGCTAAAGGAACAGCTGGATGCTGGCAAATAAACTGCTTCTGTGAAGAACCCGTCAGAGCCGGAATATGGATCCCAAACCTGCAGTGGGTTATTTTTATCTAAAGCAGGCAGGAGGCAGAAAGTCTAGGAAAGACTTAAATTACTTATTTGCAAACAGGAAATTGGGAGTAATGCTACTCCCATTCTCTGTTTAACATTGAAGAAACAGAGGCTTCTAAAAGCAGGATGTGGGTAAGGTGACATATAGGCAAGTCCTCCTTAAAAATTATAGAGAGAAATATAGAAAATAAGAGCAAGAAAGTGTTTGCAAAACTTTTAATACAGAACTATGTCTGCTTAGAGATATTTTAAAACAGTTCTTCCCTTCCCAGCAATATTGACAAATGACGGTAAAGTTTCACTCAATCTACAGAATGGAGACTATATTAGCTGTCAGCTGCCTACCAAATAGGGACATTGAGAGGATTAATGAGGATCTGGGTGCTACACTGATCGTTGCCATAGAAATGCATAGCTAAGTAGGGTTGTATAAAAGATGTGTCAAACGCAATATTTTTCAGCCCATGGCTGACAATAATGGGAAGACAGAGCGTCCCTTTGCATTAAAGATCTCAAAGGATTAGCATGTCCAGTGCCTCTATAGTACTCTCCCACCCTCTGTTGTGTGTGTGTATGTGTAACTTTTAGCGGAGCCATTAGCCTGAATCTAAAAGGCATCTAGCAGAATTTATTCAGCCCATGTCAGTGGATTTTCATGACCTCAAGTAACCTCAGAGCTCAGCAAATGAGTGGGGTATAAAGTATTCATCACTGTCAACACAGTGACTTCATGGTTTTTAAGCCTCTACTTTTTCTGTTTTACGGAAATGTTGGGGGCTTTCTGTCTTACCTATTCTATTGTTTTCTTTTCTTGAATATAAATTTAAACACTCTTCTTTTTTATCAGTTATTCATGTGAGTCCATTCTACACATCCATATGAAAATCTTTTACTGATGCTTACTGTTTTTTAAAAGAGGTGATGTCAAACTAAAGAATGGGGAAGATTTGCAGGGAGTGGGAAAATGCCACTGTCCTGCCTCAGAACCTTCACTGCAACCCAGACTTCGCCTGTATCTTAGGCGTGCAGATGATTAATGTGGTCCAAGGGTGTCCAGAAGAGAGAGGACCCAACAACATGGATAGTGTATGTTGAGCACTTATCAAAAGAAACCCACGGCAGTGGACTCACTCTGAACCTCTTACTAGAATCATAGAGCATAGCTGGCAGGAGCTTGCATTATTATTATTATTATTATTATTAGTTCTTTTTGGGATGGAGTTTCACTCTTTGTTACCCAGGCTGGAGTGCAGTGGCATGATCTTGGCTCACTGCAACCTCCACCTCCTGGGTTCAAGTGATTCTCCTGTCTCAGCCTCCTGAGTACCTGCAATTACAGGTGCCCATCATGATGCCTGGCTAATTTTTGTATTTTCAGTAGAGACAGGATTTCACCATGTTGGCCTGGCTGCTCTTGAACTTCTGACCTCAGATGATCCACCCTCCTTGGCCTTCTAAAGTGTTGGGATTACAGACATGAGCCACCATGCCCGACTAAGTTTGCATTACTTATATGCCACGTGGAGCAGCAGTGGCAGCACGTTATTGAATGTTTTGAAGGAGGTTAAGTGTGAGTATGGGTGTGATACATGGATGTATCAGACTGTGAGAAGGTATGAGCTGAGGCCTAACTGTCCACATCAGAGGCAAAGTTCTATCATGAACAAGAAAAGTGAGATGGGGATTGGAGGGACTCTACTTCAGGTCATAGGTGAGCAAGTCTGCCAGAAAAAGGCACTGGAAGTGGGTGAGCTTGCACAGTTTTTTCCGCTTTGTCAAAGAAGGCAGCTGCACTGACAGCCCATCCACTGACAAGTGCAAATTAGAAAAAGGACCACTTCCTCTGGACATTTTACTCCCATCAGTTAAACATTTCCTGTTGTAAGTGTTAGTCTGTTTGGGCTGCTATAAAAAATGCCATAAATTGGGTGGCTTATAAACTATAGAACTTTGTTTCTAATAGTTTCAAAAGCTGAGAAATTCAAGAACAAGGTGTCATTAGAAAGTGGAAATTAGAATCAGGCACTAATCCTCTTCAAAGGCCTCACCTCCTAATACTATCATTTTGGGGTTATTATTTCAACACATGAATTCTGTGGTATGCCAACATCCAGACCACAGCAGTAAGCACACAAGTCTCTGGCAATTGTGAAGGGCCGTCAGTCCCAGGAACTGTGCAGTGCACAATCCGCGAGACCCTAAGTGGCAATGTGGAGTGGTAATCGCTGTTGCTGCTGTTCCATGGACCTGGCTGCTGGGGCAAGCCCCAATGTGACAGAGTCAATATGGCAAGAAGAACTAGACATCTGTTCCCATCCTTCAGCAGCAGTGCATCATAAATGGGTTACCAAAGTGACACCTGGTAATCCTGTGCTGGCCAGGACCTTCACAGGCACAAATCAGCCTTAAGCAGGTGTTGTCAGGCCCAACCATATGAACATTTGCAGGAATAATGAAGACTCAGGAATTAATGACCATAGAGGATGTGTGGACTCTACTGAATGCTTACCTTAGAAAAAAGGAGAGTTTGAAAATTAATAAGCTAAGAATTTGTTTCAATAACAGTAAGAAAAAATGGTCAAATAAACCCAAGATAAGGTGAGATAGGAAATAATAAAGAAGAAAACCAAGTGTTTTGGTTGATCATTGGGTCAACCAAGTGTTCCACAGAAAGACTTGTTTTTGTCTGTCTCTGTCTCTCTCAAGCACACATGCTCGATCTGAAAAAAGAACACACACTCACATTCTGGTAACCTGTGTCCCTGCGTATGGCAGGAAATTTGCAATCTCTGATCTACTTCCTGAAGTTTAAATGTAGAAAAACAGAAATGTCCATAAATATGAATGAAATTTCAGAGGCCAACTGCTTAAATTGATATCTGTTTGTTCCAGCAGACTAAGCCCCACCATGGCTTTTGAGCCGCTGTGCGCAGAAAGAAGATAGCACTTCATTTTCCAGGCCCAAGCAGGCCAGTACAAACACATGCCTCGTAAGATGTTAGTGAAGGCTGAAGCATTTTGCCATCTGGGCAGCATGGGTGGTGTGCTTTAAGTCTGGTGCTTATGTTTTTGGAAACAGAAATACCACCATCAGGTTGGCTGAGCTTTCCTCATGCTTTGTATTAGAAAGGGAGATAATAGATTAAAAGAGACAATGACAATTATAAGACAATTTCTGTGGGTTACTGCAATTCAACCCCCTGTAATAACACATCGATTTCAATGTTTCCCTTACACAAAGAATCCTCATATGTTGCTGACGGTAAATGATGCTCCAATATTCAGTCAATCTAGGCAAAAATAAAGACCACTAAGTGAAAGAAAGTCACGAAAGCTGAATTGGCCTCATGTAGAAATGGCTCAAGAGTTAAGAGAGGGAATACAGGCTAAAATAAAGATTAGAAAGGAAATCGTGTTTATTTAACCAGGGTCCATCTAGATGGTCTGAAGTCAGTACACAGCTCCCTGATTTGCATAACTTTTTCTCTTTGAGCCATAAGCAAGAGCTTTTCCAATATTCGAGGATAACCTCTGAATTCAAACAAATCATTCTTCTGACCTATGGTCAATCTTTCAGCCTCACACAGATGTCTCCCTTTATGTATAAGGAAAGAATAATCACATCACTCCAGCTCAGATGTTCACTTGGGATTAACTAATTTTTAAAGTGCTCTTCTTATAAGAGCCACGTCATGCAAAAGGGAAGTGGCTTATACATATAATACAGTAGTTTATGGAAAAAGTCTTCATCGTGTGGTGGAAAGAACACTCTTCAAACAGAGCACCCTGGATCCCAGTCCTGGTCTGACATGGTTTAGCAACAAGACCATGGATAACTCACAAAGACACTGAGGCTCAGTTTCCTCATCTATAAAGCAAAACATCTGTATCTAATGAGTTTATCTTTGCCAACTTACTATATGACTAATGCACCCATGTGTATTACATATGATAAATAGTGATATGCTTATTCCTTTCATATAGATAGAAGATAGATAACAGAAGACATTGATGAATGAAAGAAGATACAGATATGAATAAGTGATAGAGGATATAGATACATATAGTTGTGATAATATAATGTAGCATAGTTTTTTCCTAAAATGTGGTGACATAAAGAAATGTTTGACCTAAAGACTTCCCATTTTATTTAAAAGTATGAAATACATTGAAAAATATAATAATACTAAACTGAGCCAAAGCTGTTGCAACAGCTTTACAATTGCCTAAGTTAAAGTCATTTTCAAATAATTAAGCAGTCATTACGCATTAAAAAATAGAATCTTTGAAATATAGAATTGAATACATGATGCACTGAAAGTCATAAAATATTTGTGAATTAAAAAATACATAAAACAATGTAATGAATTAATCTTAAAATTTAACACATATTTATTTACTCATTTATTTAATAGGTATTCATGCAGCACCTACTGTATGTCAAATGTTGCTCTGGGGGTGCAATAAGGAATGAAAAAGAATAAGTCCGTGTGCTTTTGAGTTTGGAATCTGTAGCAACTGGAGATATCTGCTATGAAGCTAATGAAAGTAACATAAGGACATAAAGATAGGCGAGGAAAAACTATCATAGATGATGTGGCTATGCCCGTGTGGTTTTGCCAACCCCACGTCACCTGCACTGTCCTCCACATCCCAAAGACCAGATACTGGGAACATCTGCAGCTCTCTGGAAGTCTTTCTTTCCTGCAGGAGCATACGACATCTCCCAGGGGGGAGTCCAGGTCTTAGAGAGTTCATGCCCCCAGAAGTGATCGTCACCCAAAGACAGGAAGGGAGGTGGAGAGTAAAGTTCTAGCTTGCCCCCTGTAGAGAAAGGAAACTCTGAGAGGTGTGCTGGGCTCCCACTACTCCCTTGCTTGTTAACAAACCATGTCTTACCTTTCTCCTTTTCCCATCTCTGCTACAGAAGCTTTCTGAAAACACCTTCCAAGTAAAACTACTTGCCCCTCTAATCTTTGTCTGAGAGTGAGCTCCTGCAGAATCCAGAAAGGAAGGCCTCCCTGATGAAAGACTTGAGTCAAGTGAATGAGTCACACAGATACCTGGCATGTTCCCAGGCAGAAACCCTGGGGTGGGTGGGTGTGCAAGTAAGTATGTGGGGGACTGCCATGGACCCCATGGGAAATAACATGTGCACACTGGCTGGAAAGGGGAGGAGGAAACACAAAAGGGATACTGAGATAAATATAATTTAGAAATTGGAAGAACAGTAAAGGGAGAGATCAATACATGTGAGGATCAGAGAACCTTGCTAGGACAGTATAACATTGAAAATGTACATTGAAGAACATTGACAGGATAGAAAGCTATTTCAGGTAGAAGGAACCCATGAACAAAGACATGCAGAATGGAGCCCACAGAACTTGTCCAATCAGTAAAATGAAACAGAGAAAATTCATATTGCTTCATCTGCCCCAGCCTGCATGTAACTATTTTTGCTTTACTAAAGCTTTGTTAAGTAGTTTATTGAAGGTCATACTAATTGAGGGTACATAGCAAAAACTATGAGTGAAAGAAACAACAATTTTTTAAAGCAGCACTTGTTCTAGTTGAACAAACAAGCCATGCATTTGTGGAATATGGATATGCCAATAGATAGAAGACATAATGAGGAACTGCCTACCTGCCATGTTCCTGCAGAAATCCAAACGAAGTCGCCACATGGTGCATTCATACAAAGAGGTGAGTTTTGAGCTGGTTGTTGCTGGTCAACATGTTCCTATTTACCAATGCCTTCCTATTCTGTTCACAGATGAGGAAGCTTGGGTAGGAACCTTTGCACTGCCACCTCCTGGCCATGACCTTAGTGGTATCCATCTCTCTGTGTCTCATGTGTCTCATCTGTACATAGAGACAATCACTATAATGCAAACACACTGTTACCAAAACACCAGGAGTTCAGTCTATTTCCTGCTGCTCGCCCCACAGAAAGCCAGGGAAGAAATGTCACCATGTGTGGGAAAACAGAATTAGGGAGAGATAAGAAAGAGAAGTTGATCAACAGGAAGGAGGCGGTTGGCTAGGCAATTATGAGGGGGCGAGGGGTGTAAAATCTGCTGTCCAAATGCAGGGCTCTGATGAGTTCCAGCTCCTCGCTACTATCTAGAAGGCCTGATGGTTGGTTTCCTGAGAAAGAAACTCAGATAAGACAAACATAACTTTCTCAAGTTTAAGACTGGGAAGATCAGTTTCTACGTTTATTCAAAGAACCCATAAACATCAGTTCTATAGGATAATTGGGTCAATTTCAACATCATCTACCTCATAGCAGGCGCTCAATAAATGCTCACTATCATATGCTCTACCTCTTCTTCTTTTTTTCTCCTTTTCTTTCTTTTTCATTACTACTACCTGAATGCCTTTCCTTTCTAGAAGACACCACTTTTAGTTGTCCACCACAGCCTGATCTTGGCCTGCTGGTCAGAGGAGTGACACCTACTCTTCTAGTAGACAGCCACATATTTTCTTTTATTATAACTGACTTCTTGGAGATGCTTCTTTAATAAATCACTTTTCTTTTTGCAATCTACTCTCTGCTAACCTTCTATGGCAGGATCACACACACACATCCTTACTGAACATTCTAAAACACATATACATCCAGAAAAAGTATTAAAAGAATTAAAGAAAGGAATTATTTATCTGTAAAATGTGGATAGTAATAGCACATACTTCAGAATACTCTTGTGTTAAATGAATTAATGCAGGTAATACTTCAAATATGCCTGTCCCATAGTAAGTGTTAGGTGTTATCAACTTTATTATCCACTCATTTTAAGCTTAAATCAATGATTTTATCCCATAACTGGCTGCTTCTGTGGACCTCCAATTCAAGTTTATTAAGTGGTTATATTTACTTAAAAGTTGACATTGTAATTATAGGGGGAAATGGCACAGCTATAAAAAACACCCAAGTAGACCATTAAATCCACAGGATCTAGATTGGCAGAACAATTATCTTGTCCTTAAATGAACATTTTCTACCAGTTATAAAACTATCCTATCCACGTCCAATGTTTTTCATTCAATAGCTTTCATATTTCATCAATAGTTTTTGTGTTTTGTGTCATTGAATCGTATGTGTTTGTTAGATAAAATAGACAACTAACTAACACCCACATTTTCATTGTCATTAGCTGAGAAATTCAACTGAAAACATTTTTTTTTTCTGGAAGACTGCTCACTTTTAATATTCTTAATACTTTAACATTTATGCCTCTTGTAATTAGCAATATTTTAAAACCCACTGATGATTCAAATTTAAAAATGAACATGAGGCTTGATCTAAAAGCCAAAGCCTATAATTGGAAATAAATAGGTCTGAAGTTTTTATGCTCTTTGAAGATCCTCTTGAGGTTTCTCTCTAATCCACAGGAAAGGAAGTGTTGTTATCCATCCAGTTAGAAAGCATAATATCAAAACCAAATATAAAATAGTGATGTGTAGCAAATTCTAGTTAATCTGTGGGAATTTCTAACCCAGGACAACTTCCCACTATCTCCTACATTTCAGCCAATTCCTCCTGGATCTAAGTCGGGCATATCTCAGTTAACCTGTTTTCAATTTATTACTCAAGCTAACAACTACATTCAGAAGGGCTGATCTGCTGTAAAAACATAATAAATAAAATAAAATAAAATCTGATCTATTAGAGAGTGCTGGAGAAATTACTCTGAGATGATGTATTCTATTAGATCGTTCATTTCATTGTTCTCTTTTTGATGTTTAAATTAGAAATCTGATTAAAGGAGTAAAATATCTATAGAGTCTGCAGGTACCTATAATGTGGGTGGCCTTTTTAAAAGAGGCATTATAGAGCAAACCAAGTGAGGATTTCTCTTTTCAAGTTTGTGTGTGCACGCATGCACGTGTGCCATTTCAGAATTATAAATGGAATACATACACATTTTGAAATTAAAATTATAGAAAAATATTAAGAAGGAAAAGTCCTCTTGTATTAGACATGGCCTAAAACACCTTCTGTGCTCTGTTTCTCCTTCTTTTAGTATCTGCTGCATTTTAGTAGGGCACACTGAAGCCCAGCTCAAGACAGTCTTCTCTGGGATTTCTTGTAGATAGATGAGGGTATCCAGCTAGAAGTGATATATACCTTCTAAATCACATTTGTATAAGGAATCTATTTAGCCCCCTTCCCATAGCACATGTCACAGATTGGTGCAGTCCATCTGCTTTAAACAAATGGACAAGTATGATGCCCTCAGGAATGTTAGAAAAAGAGGGCTTCTAAATGAGCTTTAAGAGCACAGCCTCCTACCAGATCTAAACTGCAAGCTTGCTTCTAGACTATTATATGAAAAATAAACACCCTTCTGTTTTGTTTGAGCCACTACAGTATTGGCTTCTTCATTGCCATAGTTTATTCTCTAACTTACACATTGCTCTACATCCTTCTGTCCTAAAATGACCACACCTGTGCTTTTGATATTATACTCTCCAATATCTTTAAGTCCAATATTCAACTTAACAACAAGAACGGTTGAGATCTGACTTTCTCTCTTTCTCTCTCTCTCTTCTCTCTCTCATCTCTAGTTTTGCATTTTTTTGATAATTTAACATTTAATCCAATGTGTTCTGTGTCATTTCCAGTCATTACCCAATCATCATGTTCATCAGTATTCCAGGTCATCATTAAAATGACATTATTCACTGTCATTTAAAGGGTAATACTCAAGATCATTTAAGGACATCCATTAGTACTATATGATATTAATAATACCAATGCAGCATAAATTTGAGAACATTTTCTAAAAATGTATTCTAGGAAACAGAGAAGAAATATTAATCCCTTTAGTATTTCATAATTGTCCTATTCCTAATTCATTTTTTTCATGGCCATTGTAAATATTAACCATTTTTTCCAGTAAAGATTATGAATAATAACTGAGTTCATATTTCACTGAGGAATATTTATCATTTCTCCAGATAAAAGACTATCTTGCCTATGTACGAATTCTTGTACCACCACTATAGCCCCAAAATTCTACATACATGTTTGTACTTTCTGCCCTAATTTAATACTGCAGAAGATAGCAACAAAAATATCTGAGGTCATGTGTATTTCTTAAAAATAACTTGTTTCTTTTTCTTTTTCATTTTTTTTTCTTCCTACCAGGGCATTTGCATCGTATAACTCTTTCTCTTTTGTATTCAACTTAGGGTTCTCATTTTCAGGGGTTTGAAATATAATTAAGTTGTTAAATCAAAATACTCAGATACTTTTCAAGCTCAAGAAAGTTTCTTCTTTTATATAATTGCCTATGGCTTATCTCATCATTTTAGATTGGAGTTCCATTCTCTATCCTCCATGTCTATCATCTTCTCCTTTAATACTTTTTTTGCTCCATTTCAATCTTCCTGCCTCCCTTCTTCCATTACTAATTTTCTCTCTCTCTCACTCTTTTGCAACTTAAACATTTATTATCTCACAGATTTTGTGAATTGGGCATTTTAGAGGAACTTAGCTAGTTATTTCTACCTCACAGGATTGGCCAGGACTGCAGTATCTAAAGGTTTAGCCAGAGCTGGAGGATTCACTTCCAAAATGACTACTGGCAAAAAGCCTCAGTTCCTGGCTGGTTGTTGGAAGAAGGCCTCAGCTCTTCACCATGTGGACTTCATAGGGCAGCTTGAGTGCCCTTGGGTGCAGTAACTGACTTTTCTCAGAGCAAATGATCCAAGAGAAACAGTAAGGAGGAAACAAAAATAAATGCCTTTCATGATCTAGTCACAAAAGTCACAAACCATCTCTTCTATTATATTTTCTTTATTAGAAGTGGGTCACTAAGTCCAGCCTATACTCAAAGGAAAAGAAATTAAACCCAACTTCTTGAACCAAGAAGTACCAGAGGATTTGTAAGTATATTTTGAAACCACTACCATGAGTTATCAATTTTTTTTCTCTTATTCAATCCCATAGGTGAAAAAACAAACAGTATCTATCATGGTTTTTAGGTGCATTTCCTTATTATGTGTGAGACAATGTTTTTTAAAAAGAACCATTTGTACATATGTAAACTTTCTATTAATCACCTATATTGATTTTCCTTTTTTCTTTTTTAAATTGTACTTTAAGTTCTGGGGTACATGTGTAGATCTTGCAGGATTGTTGCATAGGTACACACATACCATGGTGGTTCTCTGTCTCCACCCCACCCCCCGTCATCTACATCAGGCATTTCTCCCAATGTTATGCCTCCCCAATCTCCCCATCCCCCACTGTCCCTCCTCTAGTTGCCCACACCCCCAACAGACCCCAGTGTGTGATGTTCACCTCCCCGTGCCCATGCATTCTCATTGCTCAACACCCGCCTATGAGCGAGAACATGTGTTCTTTCTGTTCTTGTGCCAGTTTGCTGAGAATGATGGTTTCCAGATTCATCCATATCCCTCCAAAGGACATGAACTCAGCCTTCTTTATGGCTGCATAGCATTCCGTGGTGTATATGTGCCACATTTTCTCTATTCAGTCTATCATTGATGGGCATTTGGGCTGATTGCAGGTCTTTGCTATTGTAAACAGTGCCACAATGAACATACTTGTGCATGTGTCTTTATAGTAGAATGATTTTTAATCATTTGCATATATGCCCAGTAATGGGATTGCTGGGCCAAATGGAATTTCTATTTCTAGATCCTTGAGGAATCGCCACACTGTCTTCCACAATGGTTGAACTAATTTACACTCCCA